AGGGAAGGGTGAGTGGGTGTACTTCCACAGGGTGCAGGCACTGTTGGGGGCCAACAGAATTCCTTCCCTAACCCTCTTCCTCTTGCTATCAGCAAGGATGGAAAATCTTTGTCAACTTTCCCAGCCTCCCTGGCAGCATCCGTGGTGATGAGATCAGATGTGGCCGACACATTAGAAGTCTGGCAGGATGGGGGTTTGGGCTTCTGAGAAATATGCTTTAGTGATAAAAGGGAGGGGTGTAGCCTGCTGCCTGTCAACCTTTTTGTCACGAATATAGTACGTAACTGTGTCCTGGAACCATGAGAGAACACGAGATTCCACCCCGGGAACTGCTTAGCCACTGAACCAAGACCAGCAACCGCTTACGTGTTATTTCAAAGTTTGCTTTCTCCACTTTGGGTTTTCTGAACCTGAAACCAAAGATGTTTGTTCCTAAGTGAACTACGTGGGTGTGTAAAAGGGTAGAGGGCTCCCAGAAGGCCTAACAGAGGTAGTGCCTGTGGGACTGAGCCCTCGATAAGCGCCTGCTTCCCCTGGAAGCAAGGGCTGGGTGAGGACACACCACAGGGAGGGGGCCTTCTCAGCTGTGCATTCCTGTATTTTTATCAAAACAGTTTATTGTGGCAAAACGTGTCTAACATCAGATGTAGCTCTGTAGCCGTTCCGAAGAGCACGGTTCCTCGGCGTTGGGCACATTCACGCTGCTGCGCAGCCGTCACCACTACCATCTCCATTAAACACTGACCGCACCCCCTATGCCCCTGTGAACCTCTGCTTTCTGTCCCTATGACTGTGTCTGTTCTAGGAGCCTCATGCAAGTGGAACCTCAGGATTAGTCTTTTTGTCTAGCTTGTTTCAATGTCTTCAGGGCACACCCATGTTGTAGCATGCATGAGACATTTTATTGCCTTTTATGGATGATATTCCACTGCGTGCTCAGACCACAGTTCATCCAGTCCTCTGTCCATGGGCACTGGGGTCGCTCCCGCCTCTTGGCGACTGTGAACCATGCTGCTGTGAAGTGGGGGCGCACATACCTGTTCAAGGCCGTGCTCGACCCCCTTCACGCACACCCAGAAGGGGAATTGCTGGGTCAACAGTAATTCCATGTGTAATCTTCCGAGGACCCACCATACCGTCTTCCACGGCGGCCGCACCATTTTACGTTCTCAGCACCTGTGCCCAACGGTTGCAGTTTCTCGCATCGTCGCCAGCACGGGTTGTTTCTGCTTTTCTATAGTAGCCACCCTCATGGGTGTGCGGTGCTGTCTAGCTGTGGTCCTGCCTTGCATTTGCCTGATGATTAGTGATGCTGGATGTCTTTTCATGGCTTGTTGGCCAACCGGAGTTCTTTACATATTCTGGACATTAATCTCTTACCGGATATGTGATTTGCAAATACCTTCTCCCATTCCATGGGTCGCCTTTTACTCCATTGCATTGTGTCCAAGAAATCATTGCTGAATCCCATGAAATGAAGCTTCCCCTCAGTTTCTTCTAAGAGTTTTGTAGTTAGCTCTTGGGTTTAGGTCTTTGATCCATCTTGAGTTCATTGCTGTATACGATTTTAGGTGAGGGTCCAACCTTACTCTTTTGCATGTGGACGTCCGGGTGTTTCTTCCATGGGCCTGACGATAAACCTGTAAATCAGCATGAAGAAGCATTATCACCACCATCTGGAAATGTTTATGGCACGTTTACTGCATGATGCAGGAGCAGAGCTGAGTGTGCGGGGAGGCAGGCGAGGCGGCCCCTGCGTCCCCCAGACCAGGAGTGTCACTTACAGGACGTGACAGGCTGCTTTGAGCTGTCTGAGCCACATGGCAGGTAGGATGAGGTCACAGCTCCAGTGGGGGTCAAGGAGTGGTCACAAGAGCCACACTGGAGGAAGACGGGGTGGGAGTGGGGTTGGGGAAGGCCCTGGGAGCCAGGGATGGGCTCTGAAAGCCAGGCTGCTTTGTGGGTTTTTGTTTTTTTTTAACATTTTATTTATTTATTTTTCCACTCCCTCCTCACCCCTGGTAACCACGAGTCCATTGTCCATGTCCACGAGTCTCTGTTTGTTAGTCCTATTCATTTGTTGCTTTTAAGTTTATATCCCACGTATAAGTGATATCATGTGATTTTCAACCTTTTCTGTCTGGCTTATTTTCCTTAGTATGATTATTTCAAGCTGCATCCACGTCGTTGCAGATGGCAGTATTTCATCCCTTCTTATGGCTGAGAGCCAGGCTGCTGAATCACTTTGGTCTCAGAACACAGAGGGCACAGGACCACGACGGTGCCACCCTTGTGGCTGTGGGCGGTGCACTCTCCGTGGACTGAAGGTTGAAATGTCTGAGGTTGGGCAGACCCAGCCGCAGGGCAGTGCTGGCTGAATGGCTGGTGTATCACCTGGTTGTGGCCAACTTATACCTAAAGTAGTTGATGAGCTGATTTCAGGGACTCGCAGGATCAGCAGTAGGTCAGAGGCAGTCACAACTGGAGGAAGCTTAAGCTAAAAGTGGGCTTCGTTACAAGTGCACAGCCTTGTGGGCCCACAGGCGAGGAGGGCAGCCCCTCTCCTGTCTGCCACTCGGTCTTGGGGCCTCTGCTCCCCTCCACTCCCTGCCTCTCCCCCACACGCCTGCTGCCTCTGCTCTCTGTATTTCTCTGGGAGCAGTGGCTACCCCAGTCCAGGCACCTGTAGCCCAAGGCAGGGGGCCCCAGCACTCAAGGCTGCCACCCCTTGATCCTGTAGGTTCGTGAAAAGGAGACCACAGCACAGTGCCCTGCGAATGGCGTGTGGCTCCTCTGGTGGCTCAGACCAGGCAGTGCCGGGGGATGGGGGCAGAGGACCAGGCCAGAGCTGGCTGTGGGCAGTCGGGAGGTGCCAGGCAGGGGGGCTCGGCAGGTGCTGGGGCAGCGCTGGGGAGGGTGGGAGGAGGAGGGAACAGTTCAGGAGGGTCCTGGGAGAAGGGAGGGGAGGCGTTGCTGCTGGCAAGGCAGGGCGGGCAGGGCGATAAGTTTCTATTTTGGAGCTATGTGGCTCTGTGCGTCAGCAGCATGTCCCTGTGGGGGTGTCCCACAGACGGCAGGAGGGCTCGAGGGCAAGGCAGGGCTGAGTTGGCAGGTAGGAGGGCCGAGGCCGTTCCATGAGGGATGGGGAACGGGCAGAGCGTGGGGGACAGATGGCCGGGGGCCGGCTCCGGCCGGCAGCTGCCCTCCTTCCCCTTTCCTCGGTGCCACTCCCGGGGGGCCCATGGCAGACTCCGGGTCTGCAAGGCTCCTGGTCTCAGCCTGCAGGAGTCTGGAGACTCGTGTCATCCATCACTTTATCCTTCTGGACATTCCCTGAGCAGCTCCGCACCAAAGGACACTGGACGCCTCGCCCGCTGCGCGGTTTCCTGAGGCGACCGCACCTGCCCGGCCTGTGGGTGTGCCTGGTGGCGCAGGGGTCACCTGGGCTGATCTCAGGAGAGGAGGCCAGGGGAGGGTGTGTGTGGGGTGGCGCTGTGTAATCCAGACACAGCTCTGGCCGGGGGCTCAGTGGGCAGCACCCAGCCCCACCTCTGCTCCACCGATGGGGATACCAAGTTCCAGAGAGGGCAGGGTCTTTCAAGGTCACTCACGTGCACAGCGAGTGGGGCTGGAACCAAGGCCGCCCGACTCCCGGGCCCGCTCGGGGCGCGGTGCTCCCTCCGTATCTGCACACCCCCAGCCTTTTAGACCGGAGGAGGCTCACTGCCCGTAAGTGTGTGGAGACCTGCGATTTACTAGTCTCTTCGGCTTAACTGGATACCCCTGGCTCTTGCCGAGTGAACTCAGAGCACAGCGACTGTGTCTCCCGGACCCTCCCATCCAAATTGGGGGATTTGACCTCTCGGTCCGTGTGGATCTATATAGGGGAGGTGGCAGCGATGGGGGTCCTGGGGAAAGCGACAGCCATCTGACCCCTCCTGAGAAATCCTGGAACAGCAACACCTCCTAGAGAAGTATGTAGATCGCAGATTTATCTTGCCAGGGGGGAGTTTGAGAGCCTGTCTTTACCCTTATCAGTGGTGTTAACACATCTAAAGAAAGAACATCCACCCATCCCCTCCGGGCGGCGGGTGGGGGCAGGGCAGGGACTGGGCCCTGGCTGGGGCTGACAGTGAGTCAGGATAAAGTCAGAAAATGCCACACCCAGGGGCCTGGACCTTCACTGGGTGCTTGCTGCTCACCTGCCAGCTTGGCAAGACTTCTCTGCCCCCATCTCCTGTGGCTGAAGCGCTGGGGGTCAGAGTTTCAGGCCAGGCTGGGAAGAAAACTAAACAAAATCTCTTGCCAACCCATAAAACCTGTCTACAAAAGTGACGATAAAGGAAGATCTATCACCGAATCAGTGTTAAGGCAGAACCCAGTGCCCAGCGCGGGCGTCAGGTCCGCAGGGGAGCGCCTGCCAGGCCGTCTGCCCCACCCGTGCTGGGGGCCACCCAGGTTGGCGAACTGCCTTCATCCGGAGGAAAAGCAGGCTTCCCACACCTTTACCGCTGGAAGTAGGCTCGGGCCTCCCAGGAGACTGGGGACGGGGACCTCCCTTCAGAGAGATGACCCAAGTCCTTGGGAGCGTCCCTGTGTTGTAAAACTTGCAAGGGGCTTATTTAGTTTTAAACAGACTTACACACGAAGG